GGCGATTTGTAACGCGGAAGCTTCCTCGGCGGGAGGTGTACGCGGTTTAACGATAACAGTGAGTTATCGGGGGTCAATCTCTTACGCCCGTGTCCTTTCTGGGACATTCGCGGGTGTCTATTTTATTGTTCGCTAATCGCGGTATGGCTCGCAGGCCATTTACATGCGTATGAGAATTTGAGTGCGGACTCACCCTACGATGCAATGCTGCATGTTGTCGTCCGTTGCTTTGGCTGCTTGGCTGCTCGTCGTGCGGCAGGTCAGTGCTGATCTCTGCGCGAAAAATGCGTTGGTGCCGAGAAAATTTGGCTGATTAGCCTTCCAAGATATGATTAATGCTAGAACAGCATTCCTTGTCCACTTAACTGAAACATACATAAATCAAGAGTACACTATCATGTATACAGATTAACTGATTTACTATAAACAACACTATCATTTACTATGCCTACCTTTTTCTTTATTGGTTACTGGCTTCGAATTTCCTGTTTCTGATGTCAAACATGCTACATCATCAGGGAGAGAACCTGAGACCTCTGATGATGACATGCTCGTTTCACGAACTGCAATATATGTATAAGAAAAAAGTAAATCCTTTTAATTATTGGGGCAGTTATGAATCATCTGGCTGTATGAGCCAAATTCAATACATACTCGTATCAAGCTGTAAAGTAGAAGGTATGAGACCAAAAAGCCGGAGATTTTTCTCATTTTCGAGAATGCAGCACATATTATTATCTGTTAACAGATAAAGATCATTTCAATAAAAACAATAGGAGCTTTGGCTACAGGACCTAACCTCCCTCGCAACGATTTCTATTTGCTAGCCTTGTACTTACCAATATTATCGAACACCATAATGTGCCCCTCAACACGGACGACTTCTCCATTCTCTTTTGTTACCAATTTGTGGCGAGTCAGGTCCGCTTCTACAACATGCATCTCCGTCATGTTTCAGCTTGAAACTCTCAATTTCAAGCTTGTCGCCAAAACATACCGAGTAACTTTTTAATCGACGAAAAATGGTAGGTTGAGAAGTCGACTCTAGAGTTAACTCGATTACTCTAACCCGGAAATCTGAACGCCGTCTGTCGAGTCAAAAAATATTTACTCGGATGCTATCTGAACGGTATAGGGTAAATTTTTCTACTCAGAGTAAGGAATCTGAACACACCCCGTGGAGTCGAATCGCTGGAGATGCGGGATCACCCAACGACGTCCGTTGCCGTGCAAACGGCCTGGCCTCTGGCCTGGAGTTGTGTCTTACAAGAGGGGAGAATCTGGCGGCGCCTAGTTCGCCGCAGGCGGTTATGTCTCCATTAGGTGAAGGCATTAGCTACAGACTGTTGTTGGAAGACGGCGCCCAATTGGCTTTCATTAACGAGAGCCTGGCGCACCTGCGCTCAGATGTGGATACAGTTATGCGGCGGCATCCTTCTAAGACAAACGGGTTTCTAAAGGACGCAACTGTTGGTTCCCCGCCGATTGCTTCTACTCCGGTTGTGAGTTCCTGTGATCCTCCATCCTTTTCGGAGGTGGTAAAGCGGGGAAAACTAAAAAGAAGGTCTAAGAAGAAAGCTACTGTGGAAGTGGCACCGAGTGACGCCTTAGAACCACTTGGAAACCAAAAGACTGAGAAGAGGGAATCAGCTTCGGCTAACCTGACGCGTCCCGGGGTACAGCGAGTTACTCGGCCTGCGACGGTGCGAGTGCGCAGTCGTCATGGCGTCTCTAGCCTGGACCTATTGCAGAGGACGAGGAATGGGTTCCTGCTATCAGAGATCGGGGTACAATCGATTCAAGTTCGACGAGATGACGCAGGATTCGTCATACGAGTGCTGGATTTGGACGCGGCTGCTGGCGCGGACCGCTTGAGCTCTAAGCTCTCGGAGGTGCTCGGAGAGGACGCCATTGTGTCCCGGACAATGTCTCACAGTGAGGTAATCTTATCCGGCTTTGACGACTCGGTTGTCGAAGCGGATGTGAGAGAGGCTCTGCGGAAACATGATAAATGTTCCGATTCAGAGATCCAGGTTGGCTCTCCGCGCCGAATGAGGAATGGACTGAGGTCGGTATGGGTGAGAGGTCCTTCCCCTGTCATGGCCGACTTGATTACAGCTGGTCACGTAAACTTAGGGTGGACATCATCCGCTAGAGTGGAATCATTAGATGACAGGCCGGTGCAATGCTTTAAGTGCTGGCACTTTGGGCATACCAGACTTAAATGTGTGTCTAAGGTTGATAGAGCCTCTGCCTGTTTTAAGTGCGGAATGGACGGTCACTATAGCTTGACATGCGGAAATGATGTGTCGTGTGCCATTTGTAGGGACCTTGGTCTTTCTAGTGGTCATCGTCTGGGATCGACTGCATGCGGGGCGCTGCGCGCTACGAGGAACAGGGTGCAGTGCCAAATGTCATGTAGACAAGAAATGGATGATCTTTCTGCTTCGGCAGATCAGTGATGGTCGTACTTACATACATAAGAGGCGACAGGCGACAGCTTACACCTGTAAGCTCCCTTGGGTGTGAGAGGAGCAGGACGTTGCGCGCGGGCCGGGGCCTCCTAGTGTTCCGGAGGCCACCGGCATGACGAGACATCCGCGTGGATGCTGCGGCGTAACGCGGGGATGGACATGCGGGGGATCCAGATCCTTGGCATGCCCTATCCTCCGAGTGATCGGTCGAGCGGTGCCCTCGGGTGGCGGGACCGATTAGCGGCATGCGATCCGTACGTGGTTGTCTTTTGTCCTGTGTGGAGTGAATGTTTAATGTTTTGTGGTAATGTCGGAATGTTAAACGTTCATGTATCGTGTATCTGTGCTGCAGGATTGCAGACGCAGAGTCAGGGAAGCGCGAGGTTTGGTTAGGTACCTTGCAGAGGTGATCTACCCATAGGCATAAATGGGGGGTCACCAAGATTAGGATTGCGACTCGTATGCAAATACTTTGAGATATAGATTTATCTCGGGCGCATGGCGCGATGGGTTGCCGAGGGCTGGAGTGCTAACGCGGTTCCCAGCTCTCGGCGCCGACCCGAATGTGGTCATCGAGGGAGAGTTTTTAGTGGGTGCAAGTCCTACATACCCTTCCAGGCCGGCCTGGAAGGCATGGCCGAGCCATTTTCTCTTCCTGCTGAAAAACAAAAAAAAGGTTGAGGCTAGGCTCAGGTAGGACAGACCAGAAACATCAGTGATATAATTAGCCTTTATTAACACGGCTATTCTTCTTGGTTACAACGAGTGCATCCCACGGCGGGCTATGGCGAACAAGGGCAAAATCTTCTTCCTTCTCGTCCACGATCGCTCGCTCTCACGGGAATACCCGAACATTGTTCGCGAAAACGGAAGGGGGGGGGGGGGGAAGGGGCTTCACTGCATCGTGGCCGGGCTCGCGCGGGAAATTAAATCTGACTAGATACTAAACACAAATCAAGTTTGAATTATGATTTATAAATTTTTTAATTACCAGTTTTGCAACCCCGCCTGTGCAAAAAATTAATATATAATACAATATATACAATTAATGTACACATTATAAATCAATGTATACAAATTATGAAAATATATGTACTTGTAATGATTACGTACAATGTGCTTATTGTAACTCCAAATCGATCTGCTACATCACGATATCCCGCACTTTCATGGCCAAGAAACCACAAATAACATAAAATATGTTTTTCACTTGTTATTGGTACATATCCTGTATGTTCTGTAATTTTTAATTAAATAAATCATTGGTATATAAAATCTACATAAATACAAGATAAATAAAATGCCCCTAATGAAAGTTTCTAAGATTTAATAAAATACATTGCAAAGATGTTAAAATATGTGATACCTCGAAACGTGTAATTAGTTCATACGCTATTGTACGCGATAAGCGAAAATGCAGAACAAAATTGTTGAGGCCGTAGCCTAAAGCCATGATTTTCGTTTTGTTATACTGCCATAATTTTGTGTCAGTCGTTATCCGTAAGATGCGCGCAAGCGCGATGCGAGCAGTGTGAATGTAGCTTGCTCTCTAGAAGCACGTCGTTCGCTCTCTCTCGATCTACGGCAGCAAACCGGCGAGTGTGTAAAATTTGCGAATAAAGCACATAGTTGATACCAAATCAGTCGTTAATCCAACCCAGTAGGTAAATACGACCTAATAAAAGAGAAAACACGTGCCAAGCATCCAGCTAATCAAGAGCTGCGAAAACATTGGTCCTTCGAGCCGGATATCGAGCGTTGCTCGCGACAACAAGATTAGGCGACTAGTGCGTGCGAGGAAAGACAGGAAAAAACTCGCATAGTACGGGCGCATTCAAAATTGCAATTGTTCCGATCGGGAAGCATCCCAACGCAATACATCGTATCCAATCATCTTGGGCGACGTTACGAATTACGGCGCAGCAGGAAGATTATACGAGACACGACACGGAAGAAAGCACCGGCACGGCAACGTCAAAGCAGGTGATACAGATAATTTCGCTATATATATTTCAGCTTCAAAATGGCAGAGGACGAGCAAACCTATCGTACGGCAAGGCGAAAAGAACGCAAGCAAAATCAGCATGCACTCATGGAAAGACCGTAGACGAGCTGGAAACAAGGCAGATTTCAGTAGCTGAATTACGATAAAGGCAAGCAAAATTTCAAGAATGCTGGCAGGCATTTAATGAGGCGCAGTCGCAGATAGAACTCATCGAAACGTCACGTGAACAGGTAAAGGATCACGATGTCGAGCGTCAGACATTCGAAGACAAATATTTCGCGGTTGCAGCTAAATTCGAAGAAAGGATATTAAGCATGAGTGCAGAGCGTGAAGGCCCAAATCCGTTTGAAGCACTCGCGCGACACAGCAATCGCGATAAGAATCAGCCGCCGAACATAAACATGCGCTTACCGCGAATAGATTTGCCGATGTTTTCTGGTTCGTATGAGGATTGACATCCCTTTCGCGATGTATTCTATTCAATGATACACGAAAACACTGCACTACCAGCAATTCAAAAAATGCATTACCTAAAGGCATCTCTCAAGAACGAAGCCGCGGATGTTATTAGTTCTTTAAAATTATCAGACGCAAATTACCAGGAAGCATTGGAAATGCTGGATGAGCGATACGACAATCGCGTAATCGTACAAAAGCATATTAAGGCCATTTTTGAATATCCAGTATTATATAAAGAAAATCACGTTGAACTTCGACAGCTATTAGATACCGTTTTAAAACATCTACGAGTTCTCAAGGTGCTACAGAGGTCCACGGATCACTGGGACGGCCTTGTCATTCATATTATTACCAGCAAATTAGCGCCAGCTGTTAACAAGGAATGGGAGACCAGCCTCAAGGATTCGAACATACCGACGCTCAAGGATTTGACTGACTTTCTGTCGTATCGATGTCGAGCATTGGAGGCGATAGACAGAAAACCCCAAGGCGTAGTATCATCAAGGAAGATTGATAAGGGCGATTCAAAGAAATCTATGTCAGCAAATGTAGTAACAGAAAGGCAGGCATGCGGTTATTGTAAAGGCGATCATCCCATTTTCAGGTGTAATAAGTTTCTCGAGCTTTCAGTTGACAAACGTATTCAGGAAATAAAAGGTCTCAAGCTTTGCCTTAATTGTTTGAAACATAGCGAGCATCGAGCAAAGCAATGCAACGCGGGTTTGTGCAAAAAATGCAATAAGAGGCACAATACGTTGCTTCATATGGAGTCAAGCTTGCAACCTAATGATACGGAAGTGAGCTCTGATAGGACGGGCACTAGCGCTGAATCGTCAACCACCAGCACATATCATGCCACCCGAGCGACAGGTCATCACGTTTTGCTGTCTACGGCAGTAGTTCACGTTCAAGATCAGAAGGGAAATATGCATCTATGTCGAGCGCTGCTCGACAACGGATCGCAGTCGAACTTCGTGAGCACGGAGCTAGTGAAGAGGCTTGGAGTTAAACAGGTTCCCACCTGCATCCCCATCAATGGCGTTGGAGGTACGAAGTCCGAAACACACAGTATGGCCAAGATAAAATTAAAGTCGCGGTTTAATGGGTACAAGGCGGAACTCAATTGTTGCGTGCTGCGGAAAATTACGCAGGATCTGCCCACGGTGTCTATTCACAAGGCTGACATTCGGGTTCCGGAAGGAATCACCTTAGCAGATCCGGAGTTTCTAGAATCATCTAGAATCGATATGATCATAGGAGTAGAAATCTTCTAGAATATCATGTGCCTAGGCCAAATAAAGGTTACTGAAACACAACCGTGTTGGCAGAAGACACACTTTGGATGGATCGCCGCAGACAGAGCAGTCGCCAGAGCTTCAAATCCACAATCAATTGCATGCAACTGCAGTACAACGGACGAATTAAGTCAACTTATGAGATCGTTTTGGGAAGTCGAGCATGGCGCGCGGAAGAATAAAATGTCGCTCGATGAACGCACACGTGAGGAATTTTTCGAGTCAACGGTGCAACGAAATTCATCGGGAGTCGTCTCGGACTATCAAGAGACATAGCAATACGCCGATTCATGCAGTTGGAGAGAAGGCTCAATCGTGATGCACCACTGAAGAAAGAATATACCAAATTCATACACGAGTACGAGTCGCTGGGGCATATGAGAGAGCTTCAAGATGTTGATTTAACCCAGATGCCTCATTATCTGCCCCATCACTGCGTGATCAAGGAGGAAAATTCTACAACCAAGATTAGGGTGGTATTCGACGCGTCTTGCAAAACCACATCAGGCATATCCCTCAACGACGCCCTCATGGTAGGTCCAGTACTTCAACAGGAATTATTTTCCATAATGGTGAGATTTCGGACGTTCAAATATGCTCTAATTGCCGACATTACCAAGATGTATAGGCAAATACTTGTCGACGAAGCGCAGACCCCATTGCAAAGGAATGTCTGGCGTGACGGACTACACGGGAAGATGATGGAATTCGAATTGATAACGCTCACTTACGGCACGGCGTCCGCCTCATTTCTCGCAATCAAGGCTGTTCGAACGCTCGCTGAAACGGAGGCAAGGCATTTTCCCATCGGATCACAAACCGTTATGCGGGATTTTTACGTGGACGACCTTATCACGGGAGCCAACTCCATCGAAAAGGCCTTGCAAATCAGGGACGAAACCACGAAATTGCTCAAGAAGGATGGATTTGTGCTTCACAAGTGGGCCTCGAACGAAGCGGAGCTACTAAAAGGCATTCCTGAAATCATCAGCTGAAGGCATCAGCGGCAAGTTCCATACGACCATTAGACAAGGAAGGTAGTTTCAGGACTCTGGGGATTCAATGGAACCCAATCGAGGATGCGTTTCAATACAGTGTGATGGCAGACGTGGACAACACTCAGCGCTCGACCAAGAGAGCAATACTATCGTGTATTGCGCGGATTTTTGACCCGCTGGGATTGCTAGGACCGGTCATCGTGCGGGTAAAACTATTCATGCAACGACTGTGGATACTGCAAGTGGACTGGGACGAATCTTTGCCTTCGGATTTGTATACGGAATGGATCGCCTACAGATCTCAATTAAAACGGCTCAACGAATTGCGAATAGCACGCATGGTGTTGGGCGCTCAAATCATCACGCGCGTCGAGCTGCACGGTTTTTGTTACGCAGCAGGCATACGGGGCTTGCGTATACTTGACGGTCACCGATCAGAATGGATCGTATCACACACATTTATTATGTTCAAGGTCCAGAGTGGCGCCCATGAAATCGATATCCTTACCCAGGCTGGAGTTATGTGGCGCTCAGCTATTATCACAGTTAATTGACAAGGTACTTCCAATTTTAGATCTGAAAGTGCACGAGACATATTATTGGACGGATGCCACCATTGTTTTGGATTGGATCCGATCACCAAGCCGCGTGTTCAACACCTTCGTCGTCAACAGAATTGGCGAAATTCAAGAGCTTACACAAATAGAGAGTTGGCATCACGTGAGCACAAATGAAAACCCTGCGGACATTCTATCTCGCGGTACCGACCCTGAGGCTTTCATTGGGGTGACCCTTTGGTGGAACGGTCCATCTTGGATAAACAAAGACAAATCGCTGTGGCCGGGGAGTGCACCACCTGATGTCAACCCTGAAGAATTCCTTGAGCACCGAAAGGTAACAATATCGACTGTCACTATCCAAGAATGTGACCTAATTGAAGGATTCTCATCCTACATCAAGCTCGTGCGCACAATTGCTAGATGTCTACGATTCATATATAATGTACGTTCGGAGCCAAGTAAAAGAAGATCCGGTCTTATTGCGGCTCTGGAATTGGAAGAGGCACGCAAGGTTATCGTCAGGAGGATTCAACAGGCAGCATTTCACAAAGAAATAGAGGCTATCAAGAATCAGGCAGATGTACCAAGAGGCACTCGGTTGCTGGGACTGAACCCGTTCCTGGATCAAGAGGACTTGTTGAGGGTGGGCGGTCGCTTGAGACATTCAGCTTTACCATATGAGACCAAGCATCAATTAATTCTACCGTCTCATAATCGGTTCACTCAGCTTGTCATTGAGCATGAGCACGCGAGACTGCTTCATGCTGGTCCACAGGCTACATTGGGAGCATTAAGATTACAGTATTGGATATTAGGCGCTAGAGGAATCATCCGTGCGATCGTGCATAAATGCGTTCCCTGCTTCAAGGCTGGGCCTCGTGCATCGCAGCAGGTCATGGGTAACCTTCCGTCATTTCGAGTCAAACCGTCACGACCATTTGACAACTTAGGAGTGGACTATTGCGGACCGATCTTTGTACGAGAAGGAAACCGTCGCAATGCCCGGAGGTCCAAGGCCTGGATTGCAATCTTTGTATGTCTGGTCACCAAGGCTGTACATATTGAACTGGTGACTAATTTAAGCACCGAAGGATTATTGAACGCGTTGAAACGATTTATTGGGCGGCGCGGCAAGCCGTCGAACATGTTCTCCGACAACGGCACCAATTTCGTCGGAGCAAACTGTGAGTTGGAAGAGCTTTTCAATCGTGAGGAATTTAGGCACAGCATCGTGAACAAGATGGCGGAAGAAGCTATTGCTTGGCATTTCATACCTCCCAAGGCACCGTACTTCGGCAGGCTGTGGGAGGCAGCGGTACGTTCAGCAAAGCTTCATCTCAATAGAGTAACATCGAAAGGAGCGTTAACATCTGAAGAGACAGCTACCCTGCTGACACAGGGCGTTTTCCAGCTAGGACACACAAAATTGCACTGTGTTACACCGTGTAAAATTCTTGTTGGAACGTTGAAAGTGTAGGTTTAATTTCTAAAAATCGTACTAGAGGGCATTACGTTAATGGAATAGTACATTTAGGTATTGTTGTCGGTCTGTTGCCTGTACAGTTTGTGCTTCTGCCTGATTGCTTCTTCGCAAACGTGATTTAAGCAAGGTAATCTTTTTACAATAATATTACAGAAAACAAAACATACATATGTACAAAGCTATTCGTTAATGCCTGAACCTGCATTTCTATTATCATGTTTCCTATTTATACAAATCGATGAGTTTTAGGCTGTATTCTACATACCACAGCCTGAAATTTATCGATACATGGATGGAATAAAAATTATGAAAATGCGAATCTTAGTAAAACCGAGGTCCAGGCATTAATGAATAGCACTGTACATATTTTATCATTTATTCGTTCTGCAAGTTTTGTTCCAATATGATGCGTTTTTTGTATAATGTATACGTTTTGTATTAATATTATATCATTATACTTGCTGTAAATTGTAACAAATAAGTTAATTATTAATTTCCTCTTTTCTTTACAGTACATTTAAACGTTGGACATTGGCCCAGTTGATC